TATACTTTTCCTCCAAGGCTTTTGACCTGATCCTCAGCTCCAACTATATCCTTTTCTTGATAATTGAGCCTAAATTGTTTAAGTGAACGGAAAGGGAAGAGAAAAAACAACAATATCCTCAATTAACGAAGGATGCATAAAGATTCATTAATAGTATTTTTGACTTTGCGTCCAACAGATGTTTTTATGTAAAGCGTATAATGAAAAACTCATTCTCATAATTTAATTTATAAACTCTGGAAAGCATATATCACACTTGATGATTTTTCGTGGAAGCATAGGAATTTTGGTCTTAAGAAGAAAACCAAATTAATTTTGGTTCCTTAGATGCTCCGATACAAAAAGGTGAAGGACATTTTATTATGCTTGCTTGAGGACAATTGGAATTGATACTCTCTTCACTTGTAGGTGCAATACATAGATTCGGAAATTCGATCAAACCAGCACTGACCCCCCACTCAACGGGAAAAGGAAAATTAAAGTGGCCCAATAAAGATGGAGGACGTAATTGGACATGTAGGAAATTGGTGGGCTAGAAATAGAAAAAAAAATCATTTAATTCATGAGAATCTGAGTTGCCACAACGTTGTTAGTTCTCATTTTTTCTAAAATCAAACTAAGTAATTTTTTTTCTTTGTCAAACCAAACAAAAAGCCAAAACGTTTTGATTTTTTTATTTTTTTAAAATCAATCTAAATAATTTTTTTATTGTCAAATCAAACAAAAAATAAATAAATAAAAAAGACATTATTTTATTGTCTAAACTGTTTTATATTGTAAAATACATTTTTATTAAATAAAAATAGACAAATTCTTCTGACAATGTGTAGTTTTTCATTACAGAGCAAATTCGGATTGAAGGACCATCCCATCTGGTGCACATTTTGTACTGAACAACGGTTTTGTTTTTTTTTAGGTTATTTGATTAGAAGTCAATTTTATTAAAAAAATTTTATTAGAAAAGTAATTAAAAAAATAATTGAGAAAGTATTATATAAAAAGTTAAAAAATAATTTACATAAAATTTTA